TTGGGGCGGCGCCTGGAGGGGGGCGGCACGGCGGGGCGCTCTGGCCCGAGATCGGGGCCGCGACTGGGGAGAGCGGAGCCGCAGCGGGCTTGCCATCCTCCCCCTGGCACTCTGGACGGGGAGAGCGGAGCCGCAGTGGGCTTGCCATCCTCCCCCTGGCACTCTGGACAGTCGAGGAGAGCGGGGCCCCGGCCGGGCTCGCCGCCCTCCCCCCGGCGCTCCGGCCGGTCGGGGAGAGCGGGGCCCCGGCCGGGCTTGCTGCCCTCCTCCCGGCGCTCCGGCCGCCGGGGAGAGCGGACCCGCAGCTGGGGCAAAAAAGCCAGAGCCGGCCCTGCCGGGACATCCCTACAATAGCGCAGCACGGAACAGCTCATTCACTAGCACACTTCAGCACTTGAGCTGGCAGAGAATTCCCAATTGATTGCAGTCATGTTAGAGACCATGACACACAGCTGAGCAGTTACAATTCCATCCCTTTCTCTGTCCCCCTCCCTGATTCATGTAAATGTCTATTTTGTAACATCCCCTCCCACTTAAATACTTTCCCTGCCAGAATGACCTTTGGTTCCATTCAGTATTAGCTCTAACCCTTGTTATTTTCTAAATGAGACAGTCCCGGTGCTCTACCTGTGCATTACACAGCATCTGAAACGATGAAAAGTAACTGTTGGGGGGAAACCCCTAGCAGGGGAGGTGGGAGGTGAAAGTACTCTAAGGAAGAAGACTCACCCTCAGGAAACTGCAGCACTTCTCCCTGGGTGAGTCGCAGTATTGTCCTATGAACGTAGGCAGAATTTTTTTCGGGAGTCAGTTTGCAAATTCATGGGTTTTCCTTTAATCAACCCATCTCTCTGCTTCAAACAATTCCAGAATGAAGCATTCAGTAAAACCACAGCATGATGACCTCAACATTATCACAAAAAGTTACTTAGAAATAACCATTCACTGTTTCCAAACCGATCGCTACTTCCTGATTGTTAGTTTGAATGAATCTGCCTAACTTCTTCCCCCCACCTCTTTCTTACAGACCGTATATAAACCAGTGAAATCCCCCAGTATGAACATGAATTTCTGAAAACTCCTTCTGTCAACATCAATCTCTCTTAAGTTGCTCCTGGGATACAGCTCAAAATGAAGTTCATTCCAGCAGGTAAAACCATCTTTGTCAATCCTATTTGATTTTTTTTAAAACTTTTCTGATTTTGAAGCAATCAGTCACACCTTTTGTCTGAGGCTCTTCTGTTTGGCGCAAAGAGAAACCCTTAAGAAACTTTTTCGCTAGTCTTAGCACCTCTGGGAATTGGCAGTAAAAAGCAAACATGCCTCTCTGGCATATTTCCACAAACATCTGGAAATTTATACCACTCTAAATTCTTCCAAAGGGTTTTCGAATTCTTTTGGGTCTCTCACTGCTGAGAAACACTGATAACTCTTGTTTAATTCGATTTTTGAAAAAATCAGAGAAATAAGGAAGTTGCCAATTGCAAAATGTTTTTGGATTGAAAAGATCAGAGTCGAGCTTATCTAAAGGATAGACACTGAAGCTAGAATGTTGTTCTCGTGGCCTGAGTACAAGTCATGTCTATGTGAAGTGTTGTGGGGTAGATTGCGCTATGCAAACCAGTGCAATAGGGAGAAAAGAGTTTTAAGGGTTTTAAGCAGAGCAGGCAGCTTGGCCCACTAGCTGGTGCACTTGGCTGTGACTCAGGAGCGCTGGCTTCTAGTCCCAGCCCTGCCACTGGCCTCATGAGTGCCCTTGGACAAATCACTGTGCCTAAGTTTCCCTCTCTGTGAAATGGGGATAATGGTAGTGAGTGCCGCCTTAAAGCACGTCGAGATCTAATGAGAATGAAGCTACAGAAGAGCAAGGTATTACTGAGACTCTGGGCTAGAGAAGCTGAATGAGATTGCAAATTAATATTAATTTAGTGGTGAATGTCACAAGCCACCTCAGCACTGCTGGGCTCTCTGACAGTCCCACAGCTGAAATATGCATGGGAGAAAATTGCATAGCACTGGCCCACACCAGACCATGTTCCTCCCTACTGGGAGTTTAATTACATTAGGGAGGGCATTGGCTGTGTCCTTTGCTCTCCATCCTCCTTTGCTTTTCCTGAAAATGCCCTTGTCCTGAACATGAGCACTGCTATGTGAGTGATTGCAACACAGAAGGGAAGTCCTGTCAGTTGCAATGTACAAATTAGGGCACGGATGCTGCTGCAGCGAGTGTAAATAAAGTAATTATCGTATGACTTGTGACCTGCAGCGATTCCGAGGTTCTGACAAGTGTGGACAACTTCAGAGTTTGTCAGATACCAAGAACTATGTGGTTTTTCAGCAGCTGCATTGTGACATTGCTTGTTGAATTGGCTGTCTCTAGGCCCAATCAGCAGAGGTTGAGTTGAGTATGTTCTACTTTGCACAGGATCAGGCCTTTAAGATACTATGCTCCATAGAACCTGAATAGTGTAATTTTTCTCCCTCACTGTGCAGTTTATAGCATGGGACTGCAGGGGTCAGGACCCCAAGTTCTAGCTCTCCAGATCTGTACAGTATTCTCAACTCTGCCACTGGTGCCCTTGGTTGTGTCACTCTGTGACTCAGTTTCCCCATCTGTAAAATGGGGATGATAAGGTTTACCTGTCTTTGTAAAGGGCTTTGGGATCCTTGGATGAAAAGCAACATGTAAGTGCCAAGGATTATTATTCATAACAATAATTCATATCAGCACCATTACCACTATGTGATACTATTCCCAAATGGCAGCATATTAATCTCTGGGTTCTATGGGAGAACAAGAGAACAAGCAGGAACGTCCAGGGGTTGAAACAGAGAGGGAAAGGATACACAGTTCATCTTTCATAACATCATTTGACCTAACCCTGCTGTGTTCCTCTGTGACACATTGCTTTGGTCACCTGGCAGCTGTCCCGCTTGTGGCTGTGTGCTGAATTTGGTGCTGGTACCCCAGGTAGTGAGGGGGCGGGTGTGTGTGGTGTGTGGGGGGTGATAGTTGGAGTCTCAGCCCAAAGGCAATGGGTCATCCAAAATTATCCTGAAAACCCCCCGCCTCAGCCTGGTAATATCATCAGATGCAAGATTAGGCTTCTGCTATTATTAGCTATTCATATTACAGTTGGCCTACAATAATGACATATTACACCCGAGACAAGGGCCCCATTGTGCTAGTCTCTGTCCCAAAGACCTCACAGTCTAAACAGACAAGAGGGACAGAGGAAACTGAGGCACAGCGAGTGACAGTGACTTGCCCTAGGTCACCCAGAGGCAGAGGTAGGTCTAGAAACCAGGGGTGAGATCCTGGGGACATTGATGACAAAACCTCTGTTGATGTCCCTAGGGCCAGGCTGTCACCCCAGGTTTCCAATCCTGCTAAACCACACTGACTCCTGTGAGTGCACCTGGGAGCCTGGGATTTTGACACATGGCTGCAGGCATTGATGCCTTCCTGCATCCACTCCCATGATGGGGCTGCCTCTCATGCAAAATGGCTAACCTGCGAGGGAGAGGTGGGATCTTTGCCTATGGGGCCGCACCAGAGGCGGGGAGCCCGAATCAGTGCACAGTGAGACACAGGTCAGCAGGCAGTGATGCAACACACAGCTGATTGTGGATCACCAGCAGGCCACCTCCCGGGTGGGGAGGATCAGGAACTCAGGGAAAGACAAGAGCTCACCTTGATGTGGAGGGGGGCTAGAAAGAAGACTCTGCTTGAAGAATAATAGCACTGTGTCTTTAAATATGTAGCAGGGCCAGGAAAGGTCTGAGGCAGAAACTCTACAGTGAATCAGAGAGAAGCTTTAGGGATAATGCCAACCTCCTAAGTCTAATAAATCTCTTTGTTCAGTGCTATTGTCTTATGACAGGTGCTGGGGGAAACCACTACTCCACTCAGACTTAGCCTGGCTGGCCGTCCGGCCCCATCCATAACGCAGTTCTATGCATATCAGCAGTTTCTCCTACTAGGCATTCAAACCAGCATTTTTTCAAGAATGCTCATTGGTCTAGGGGGGTTCTTAATAATTCCTAACATCAGTAGATGGCAAAGCAGATAGTATCATTATCCCCACTTCACAGAAGGGGAAACTGAGAAACTTGTCCATGGCCACCCAGTAGGTAAGGGGTGGAGCTAGGAATAGAACTCATGTATCCTGAGTCCTAAGCTACAGTGCTAGCCACTAGACCACTCTGCTTTTTAGATGAGCCTCTTGGTGACACCTCAGTTGGCCACTATTGAAACTTTGATCAATGTCAACAACACGAGCCCAGAGAATGGGCACAAAACCCACACCCAGCCCTACCCCCTGCTTTGCATGCTTGACTAAAACTGACAGGTAGTCACAGGCAGTTGCGCAACTTGAGAACACAAAAAGCTCCCAGAGGAAAGAAAAACACAGGGGAATTCCTGCTGCATTGCAGGGCAGTGCTGAGCCAGGGGGCAGTGCTCAGGGGGAGCTGGAGAATGCAGACAGCAGAGCATTGAGGGTTGGGGAGACATGGGGAAATGGGAATTTTCTTCTTAACTACACTGGTAGAAGTGAGAGGAGAATATGGCCCTTAGGACAAACTCCAGCCCCTATCTACAGAAGCTACACCGGATACGTGGGCATGGGGGAGCAAAAGGAAACTGGGTGCAAGCCGGATGGTTCAGGGCAGGCAGGACGTTGCCTCTGCTTTATCAAAGAGCAGCCCATGTGCCTCAGTAGCACATGGTTCTGACTGCAGGGGGATGGAAATGTTCTTGGTCCCAGAGATCAGCCGCTCCAACCCAGGCAATAGCTGGTTCCCTTCCCGGTGATCTGACACCTAGAGAGATCCTGCCCGGAGGCAATGGGAGAGAGCTTCTTTTGATCCTTCTTTCCCTCCAGCATTGGCAAGATCAGGAGCTATTAGTGACTGAGGCTGTCCAGTCCCAGTGACACTGGACGCTTTCCCGGGGGAGATCTCAGAGCTCTCATCTGGCTGGGTGGGCACTGGACTCTGAAGTGAATGGCGCTGATGGCTGGGTCCCAGTGGCATCATCTCACCGCGCCCGCTTTCCTCGGTCCACAGGTGTTGTCCCCTTGCTGTTGATGATCCACTGCAGATTGGTGGTTGGCAAGGCACTGCCGGTGAACACCCCCAGCCCCATGTGCGAGAACACGCATGTGTGCAAACCCAACGTGGCTGAGCAGACCCGGAAGCTAGTGGTGCTGCTCAATGCGACGGCTCAGGATCTCTTCAGCATCTATGTAAGTTCCCATTGGAGCCTCAGCTCCTCCTAAATTAAAACTGTGTGAGCTACTCAAGCAGGATACAGGCATGTCCTATTCGGCCAGCCAAGCTGCTCGTCCCCAAGGACATTGCATCGGGCAAGCGGAACGTGCTTATTGCTAGAACCCCACGGGAGGAGTTTACATAAAACTGGCAGGTGTTTGCTTGACCTATGCAGGACCTTGGGGATGTCAGCTGGGGATGCGGGTGCTCAGCACCTCTGAAAATCAGACCCTGCCCTGGATTTTCCCATCACAAATATAGGATGGGCAATGGAGCGCTGGCCTGCAGGGAGGAGTGGGGATTAGTGGGCTAGATTTTCAGGAGTGGAGTGCTGAGTTTAGATGCCAGCCTCAGCTGGGGAAAGCCTTCCAGCCCTTGGGGGGGTTACATTTCTATCACCCCTCCCCACTGCACAGTTCGGCACAACTAATGGCTCCTGCTATCCCTGTCCCAGCTGTGGACAGAGCAGGAGGGACTGCAAAGCAGGACCAAAGTGCACTGGTAGGTGAGTTATTGGTGCAGTTGGGGGATGGCAGAGAAGAAGGACGGCCCAGTGGATTGGGCATGAGCCCAGTCTTAGGAGACCTGCACACTAATGCCTGTTCCCCGCAGCTGGCTCGCGTGACCTTGGGCAAAGGGCTCCGGGCCTTGGTTTTCCACCCACATGACGGATGGGGTATTAGTCCTGTAAATCCTTTGCAAACTGCCAGATGCTCAGGTGCTATAGCCCGGGGAGATAGAGAAGTACCTCGCGAGAGGTGCCTCAGCTCCTACAGCATTGCCAACCACAAGGGTTCAACAGTCCTGAGTCAGGCTCTTGTTTACTGAGGTTTCGGAGCCTTTTGGGCACAACTGGGCCAAGTTTTCAAGCATTTGTGCACAGCTAGGAGAGCTAGAAACCTCCTTGTTTAACAACAGCTGAGATTCTTGCAGGGCTCCAGGGGCAGGGCTTTAAAACCCATCCTGCAGCATGAGACGTGTGATAAAACAGTGAGCGGGGGAGGGCTGAAGGTGGGGCAGTGTGTGCGAGGGGCTGTGTGACTGAGATTCCCTAGTCATTTTTTCCCCTCCCGCCTCCCCCAGCTGGACTGCCAGGGCGACCCATTCAGCAGCCACCTGGATGAACTCTGCAACGCCAATGGAACCAACTTCCCTGACTTCGACGTGAACCGAACCAGCCATAAGAAGGAGATCATGGTGGCCTTGTACAAGGTCTTTGCCTTCCTGAACGCCTCGCTGGGCAACATCACCAGGGACCAGGAAGAGCTTAACCCCACGGCCAAGGAGCTGCGGGAGCGGCTCCAGAACACCACCAAGACCACGCGGGGACTGATCTCCAACCTGACCTGCCTGCTGTGCACCAACTACAAGGTCTCCCAGGTGGACGTCACCTACGGCAAGAGCAGTAAGGGCATGACCGTCTTCAAGAAGAAGCAGCAGGGCTGCCAGGTGCTGAGGAGGTACGTGCAGGTCGTCTCCCAGGCGGCACAGGTCCTGCTACCTCACCTCTCGCAGGCATGAGCTGCCAGACAGACGGACCCTGCCACTCCCCCAGGGCCTGTTGAGCCCAACTGCGGAGGGATCAGTGCAGCACGGCTGAGGTGAGCAGGAGTCTGAGTCAGGGGCATCTGAGAGGGCACATGACAACCAGCTACATACTCCGGAGGGCAAGGAGGCGGGATTGCCCTTTGGTCAGCCCTCTTGGTTTGGAAAGCCCCTGACCTTTAAGACACTCAGCTTTCAGGGAATTCATCCATCCAGTGGGGCTGCAGTGGCCCCCTGGTGTGGGACTAGCTCCCCCTTGACATCCGCCTCCATCAAGCCCTCTGCACTTGCCCAGGGCACCTCTGGACTCTTCCTTCATGGGTGGTCTATTATTAATAAGCCTTGTTTGCTTCCTATTTATTATCTCCCCCAATCCCTTTTGTAATATTGCTCCCCCAGCGCCGTTATTTATTTGAATGTTAATGAGGGTGAGTTCTATCATGTTTGTCTGGTATTTTAATTGTGTCTTTATGACGCTGTTCAGTGCCCAAGTGCCTTAGGGATAGGGCGCGTTATAAATTACCTGAATTATTAGTCTGTGGGAGGCCAAATGGGCTGGAATTGAGACAAAGGACGGTTTGGGCAGAAGACCAAGGAATGATGGCCCAGCACTGAGATGCGCCAGGCTGCAGACCAGTCTGGCAATGGCCCTCGTGGATGCACCATTGCTTGGGTTGCTGAAAAGCAGGCTGGGGAAAGCATGAGGGAAGGACACTGCCGAAGCCCCAGCAAGATGGATTGGGTAGCTCTTGTCCATCTCTGGGCCACCCTTTCCTCTGACTTCAATGGGGAAATGAGCGGAGAGTTTAGTCCTTTGATTTTAGGAGGTTCTGCACTGCAGCTGGGAGTTAGGTTTCACTGCTTCTTCTTTGTCCCTCTCCAGCCCCCTCTGCACTTGGGGCCTTTTTTAATCTTGATTAGAAACAAAGCTTTAGAACTGCTGGAGCACTAGACCTGTCGCAGGATCCCAGGTGCTCTGTGAGACACACCTCACGTACGGGTATAAAATCACCAGTGGCAGGGATTTAAGAACAGGGTCTGCTCCGCTGAGTCCAGGTTCTGCAGTAATGGGCGCCCTACAAGTATTCCACTCCAGCCTAGAATCTGACTCTTTGGAGAGTATCCCATGGGTTGGGCAAACTGTGGTATGCCCTTCTGTGAACCTGAGCTGAGGTCACACAGCTGCTGCAAAGTCCACACATTCAGGGCTGGCATTAGGGGGTAGCAAGGAGGGCAATTGCCCGGGGCCCTACGCCACAGGGGGCCCCACATGGTGGGGCTTGGGCTTCACCTTCCGAAATGTTGCAGCAATCCAGTGTGTGAGCAGGTAAGGAAGGTGGGATAGGAGCCCACTCCTTAGTTTCTGTCCTGGGCCCCAGCGAGTCTAACACCGTTCCTGCACACATTGTCTTTGTGAACGCCAGTGTGAGACTCGGCCTTGCTCAGAGTTAACTGAGGAGAATGTCTCAGAGAGCAGGTCCAAAGCCCATTGAAATCCATAGGAATCTTTAATGGCTTCAGCTCAGGCCAGGAGGCTGAGATTTTCCAGGTTGAACTAAGGACAACCAATGAAAATGGCTTTGATAATCCCATCCTGGCCTCTCCAGTCACACAGGCTTCCCCTTGCACCCACACGGAAAGGGAACGCCGCTCAGATCGCTCTCTGTCCTGGCTCCCCTTTGTGCACTATGCGCCACATGGCGAATGCAGTCTTGCAGGCTACTGGATTCATTTTCAAAGTGGCAGCCTTTCTATCATGGGGATGAATCATTCGGGGAAAGGCCTTGGGGTGCTTTAAAACCAGTGAATGAGTTTTCTCACAAAAATTTCATTTAAAACAGAAACCAAAACTCCCTATCAAACTCAGTACCAACTTCCACCATGGCAGATGCTTGGTTTTTGAGATGCTTTTCCTCTTTGTGGAGGAAGAGGGTCTGTTTCTAAAGAAAGATATCAAAAGATGAGTTACTGGAAAACCAGAACCATTTAACTCATTCTCCCCATCACACTCCTCCAAAAAAAAGTGTCTGGGATCAGATAAAATGAGACCTGGATTTGAACTACCAGGATCTTGACAAAACTTTTCAAAATCTACAGCAGCCCTAGTTTTGCCCATCTCTATAAGATACTCTGAGAGCATCCAAAAGGAGCTAAAGGACACAGCTGACCTGTGTGATCTTCAGCTCAAGATTGGGTGTCCTTTTAAAAGATCTCCTCTAGTTCAACCTCAAGTAATTGGGGTCAATGCTGGATGAATCAGCTGGCCTGTGTTAGGCAGGAGGTCAGATTAGATGATCATAACAGTCTCTTCTAGACTTAAAATCTAGGATGGTGAATTTCTTATTTATGGCCCATAACAATTAGAAGTGGGGAGTTGGACAGAAACATTGCACTATCTGAGCAATCTTGTAAACTCCCATCTATTTGTATTTCCTTGTTGTTACTTGCACACAGTATTAAGGCACTTGTCAGGTGAGTGAAAGGTGTGGTTACTCTGAAGCAGACATGCTTTCTCTTCTGCACTGGTATCTTCCATGCAGCTGGCTCTGCAAATTTGACTATTTACTATGCATCGCTTGGACTGTTAAACCGGAATGATGAGAAAGGCACTCAAATTGAAGGGCAGTTGCAAAGGGTGGATGATTTAGTTGGGGTTGGTCCTGCTTTGAGCAGGGGGTTGGACTAGATACCTCCTGAGGTCTCTTCCAACCCTGAGACTCTCTGATTCTATGTGGGGGAGGGTGGGCATTGAAGTGCTGGTTGGCCAGCTACTATTTTGGATCATTCTCCCCAAACCCCAAGCAGCTGGGGACAGAACCCATAGTTTAAAAGGCTCAAATATCACTGATTTTGTTAAATCTTCACTTACGTTTTCAGTGACTTCACCCCTGTAGTGAGGAAAAGGGCTTTTCTCATCATGAAGGCAAAAGGGGGCTCAGGACCCCGTGAATGTAATTAATAGTCCTTATAAAGGGATGAGTGATTGGAATGTCTCAAGGGGAAGACAATAGTGCTGGTTCTCTCGAGGCAGCCGGGCTCTGGTGCCCTTATAGCAAGCACCTTCCTCCAGCATGTCAGTGGCCCCCTTGTAGAGTTAGAAGCTGACCAGCGCGGGTAAATCTGGCAACCTTGGTTCCCCTTTTACTCTAGTGTAAATCAGCAGTGACACCAGTTCAAGTAGGGTAAGTGCGAGGGAACCAGGTCTCTTTGCTAACTGACCTCCATCGTCTCCCTGATGCAGACAAGGTTTGTGTTCTCATTCACCTCGTTTACAGATGGTGAAACTGAGGCAGCACAATTTCAACCTCTGCTTTTGGGAGTCCGACTTGAGACACCGAGAGTCTGATTTTCAGAGGTACTGGAACACAAGCGCAACTCCAGATGAAGTCAGGGGATTGCCACCACCTCTGAAAATCAGGGCCGGGTGCCTCCGGCTGGGCACAAGTATCTTTAATTCTAACCCCCTCCATCAAAGTGCACTTTAAAGGCTGTATCACAAGTATTCTTACACTGACAGATGAATACTGTATCCAGACCACAGAAGTAGCTGTCTAGTAGATTCAGCCCAGGGCTGGGAGTAAAGAAAACCCGAGTTCTAATCCCAGCTCTACTGATTTGCATGACCTAGTTGCTGTAGCCTCTGTTTCCCCTGTTCCTTACATTCGTTCAAATCACAGTTTGCACCCCTGCAGTGGCTCAGACTCCACATGGCTTTGCTGTGCAAGGGGCCATATCTCGCAGGGATGTTGTGAGGCTATTTAATATTTGACATGAGTGCTAATTACAATGACATGGAAAACTATTTATGTGCTCCACAGTGACAGGGTAGTCTGTGTGTGTTACGGTGTCTGTGTGTCTGTAAAGCCTTATGGGAAAGTATGCCCCATGCCACATGTTTGACAGGACTTTTAATAATAATTATTATTAATAATAATATATTGTATGATATTTAAATATTTATTTTTATACTTTTTAGAATGTCTTTTTTACAATAAATATTCTGAAACAGTCTCTTTTTTCCCTGTGGTTTTCTTAGCACTTCCCTGTTGTGTTACATTTATTACCTCTGGTCTTCCCCCAAACTGCAGTAATTGTAGAGCTGTGAATGCATCTCCTGCTATGTTGCATCTCAGCAATGCTGGATTAGTTTCTCCAGAAGCTATTTCATTATGATCTCAAGCCAAAGGCCACTGTAGACAATGGGCATCTTTCTAGACTTTGGATCAGGTCCTAGGAATCAGATTTTCAAGTGTTCAGCACCCCCAATTGGGGCAGAATTTAAAAAGTGCTCAACGTGGGGGAATATCCCCGTGGCCTGGCCCCTGAATAGGGGCTGTAAAAGTTTCACATCCTCCCCCAGATGGGCACATGCTGGGGACAGGGCAGAGGCTGGAGGGAGCATGCACTATGGTCATTCCTGTCAGCGCCAGTGCCCCTGGCAGCCTGGGGGAGGCTTAGAGCCGCTCCAGTTGCCTAAATTACACCAGGAGCTGTGGCAGTCCTTCAAGCAGCTGGAAACCCAAGGGTCCAAGTGGCATAAAGCCACCTTTATCCTCCCTCCCTCTGGGCTATGACTCTGGGCTGTGTATCCAAGGGTTGGCAGGATCAGGCCCTTATCAGCTCTTCAGAAATAGGACCATGGGGCTGAAATCACTGGGGACAGAGCTGAGCTTGGCACAGGAGCTGGCTGTGAGACAGCTGGCCATATGCCACCTCTGCACCACTATGTTGGGGGCCATGTCGTCCCTCAGTGACATTAGAACAGCCAGAGTTGCTGCCCTAACCTATGTCCAGCTGCTCATGGTCCAACAGACCCTTCCAACAGCTGGAAATAGCCAGGGAGTAGCTCTGGCCATACTCCCTTCTCTCCAGGACCACCCCTGTGCCAGAAGCTGCAGCAGTGAGTTGCAGAGTTGCCTGCAACTCTATGCCTGCCAGGGACTCTCCCTATGCTGGGCAACCCCCCCAGAGGGCATCTAATGGATTATGTATCAGAGGGGTAGCTGTGTTAGTCTGGATCTGTAAAAAGCAACAAAGAGTCCTGTGGCACCTTACAGATGAACAGATGTATTGGAGCATAAGCTTTCGTGGATGAATACCCACTTCGTCATGCATCTGACCAAGTGGGCATTCACCCACGAAAGCTTATGCTCCAATACATCTGTTAGTCTTAAAGGTGCCACAGGAGACTCTGTTGCTTTTTAATGGATTATGGCAGCTTTGCAGCTTCTTTACGCCATCAGAGACAGCGTAAGCGCTGTGGGACACCAATGAGATTCAGTGCATGAAGCAACTAGCATACTGCTGGCATTCCATAAATAATGCTGCTGCACAGTGGGAGAGATCACAGGTGTTAAAAAGCCCACAGCCAGTGAAGGGAAACAAACCAAATCAGATAAAAAAATAACCACCTCAAAGACTCCAGCTCTGCCCTTGGAGAGGTTCATAAAAGTCTGGCTAAGCCCAGACCACCTAATTTTCCTACAGAACAATGATCCTGTGCTGGCCAATAAAATGGGATTGTACCAGTTAACAAGAGAGCGATTATGAGCACACTTGAGCAGTATGATGAAATCCTCCTCCAGAGCCCATGGGCCTCCAGCCAAGCCTCCCAGGCATGAGACAAAGCGGATGAGCTAAGATCCTGTTTGATCATCCTTCATGTCTCGGAGGAGCACAAAATCTCTTTCTCTTAATAACATGCCCCATCAGGTTGTTCAGCCCAGGCTTTACTAATCACAATTGCTCAGGCGCACCTCTGTAAAGGAGAGAGTCTAAGGCTGCCATCTGACCCAGAGCAAGGCGAAGTTGTTAATGTCATTTATTCTTTGGCAGCCTCTGCAACTTCATCACTGCCCTGTGGCTCTCTTGCTGTTGTCGGAGAGCTGGCTGCTCTGTGTTACTACGAGCCTCTGTGGGTGGCAAGGAGCAACTCCTCTCTATGCCATAACGAGAGCGGGCCACAGCTGGGGATTTTGGGATGCAGGGAATTTTGATATTTATGAATTTACTTTGGTTCCAATTTGAAACTAAAGCAAATTTACCAAAGGTTTCCAGCGAGCTGGAGATCCCCACAACTGTTGTTTCAAAAACACTAAAATAAGGTGTTCTTGGAACAAAATGTGATACTGACATTCTAGCTAGCAGCCATGAAACTGACAAGAATGTCAATTTCACTTAGCTGCTCTGCTGCAGCTGGGGCTTTCTGGGCTGGCAGGCTACCTGCTGGGGCTCCCAGGACTGCTACCAAGTCCCAGGACAGAGCACTTACCACAAGTCCATCCTTCCTCACATAGTAACTAATCCATGGCTATCTAGGAATTTACAAGCATCCTGGGACTTGAGAGACCTGGGCTCAAGTCCCTTCTCTGCTGCAGACTTCTGTGCAGTCTCAGGGAAATCACTTACCCTATCTGTGCCTCAGTTTCCCAGTTGTAAAATGCACATAATAACCCTGCCATTGTGCAGGGAGGGGGTTGTAAAGATAGACACATGAAAGATTGTAGGTGCTCAGAGGGGTCACATAGATAAAAAGAAAGAGGGGGCTACCAAATAATTACTTACTTTGTATTTGGTTTTACGTTTACAAAGAGATGCCCCAGCCCAAGATCTAGACCTAGGCGGCAGTCAGCAGACTGCTCACCACACTTAGCTTCCAAAGGAGAAGTGGTTCAGTTTTCTTGTCTTCCAGCACAAATTTCTGACTTCAATCTTAATGCACAGCAGCGGCCTAGGCAGCCACTGGATCCCTACAGAAATTCATGCTTCCTAAAGGGCTCAGGCCTGCAGCCTGAACTCAGAATGACTCGCTGGACTCAAGCCCAGGCATATCCGGGCCCTGCTCCTCACCCTAGTTTCAGTTCATCATTTTAGAACCACTGAGTCAGCCAAAAGCAGATAGTAACATTTTATGATCCTACTGAAAGATTTAAGCAGCACTAATTAGTGTAGCAAAACTTCCTGGTGCAAAGCAGAAGCAGGAGTCCTGGCCTTCCACGGTCACCCCAGCGACCTGCTCTCTCCTCACACGCTGCAGAGGCAAAAGGATGGCAGAAGGGAATGTGTCTCCTGCCATGCACAGGCCAGCAATGTTAGGCCAGCTCCGCCCCTAATACCAATGGATCCTGGACCTGATCCAAAGGCCTTATAGTCAATGGGAGTCTTTCCACTGACGTCAATGAGTTCTAGATCTGGCTCAGAAAGTCCCTGTTGAAATATGAGATTTTCTTCAGGTTTCACCAAACCTGGGAAATGCTCACCATGGAATAGGCCACCGAGTGGGTCAGAGCATCAGACACAAGTGGAATGACTAAGCCCCAGAAAGAAAGAGTTCCAGTTTAAACAATCAACTTGCCCTTTACAATGGTTAAAGAAACCCCTATAGTCCACAGATGCTGCTAGGTGGAAGTTACCCAGAAGAGAGGAGTAGGAGCTTTTGAAAGATGTGATGTCAGATATGTGATGTCTGCCTGCAGAGAGGGCAATTATTCACTGGAGCCCCCTACCTTACAGTAGCAGCAACTAGCCGTTGGAACAACTCACCAAGGGATGTGGCTGATCATTTGCAGTCTTTGCACTGTAATTGGATGTCTTCCGAAAAGACATGCTGTCTAGTTCAGCCACAAGTTATTGGGCTTGATAATGTCACTTATCTAGTAGGTGAGAGAAATTCTCCAAACTACAGGAGTCACTGAGTAAAATTCTCTGGCCTGTGCTATACAGGAAGTCAGGCTAGATGATCCCTTCTGGCCTCACCATCTATGAATCGATACATGGGATTCTTCAGGCTTGGGTAGAGTTTTAGGGTCTTTCTTCCAGAGAGCCTGGCTCAAGCCAGAATCTGGCTTAAAACATGCCTGAGCTCTGGTGAGAATTAGATCTGGAACTGATCTCCATAACTTGGGGCTGTCTTTAAGGGAATTTAAACCAGATCCCTGAATCTAAGCACCCACCACTGCTGGAAGGTTCTGATTTGAAAGAGATTGTGGATCTGAAATTCACATAGCCAAGGACATGAAAACAAGATCTTAGTATTTTAGAAATTCACCTGTTCCTGAGACATTATTAATTATTATTATTATAGAGACCTCCAAATCAGAGATCATGGTCCTCTCCCGGAAGAAAGTGGACTGCTCTCTCCAGGTGAGGGGGGAGCAGCTGCCTTTAGTAGACGAGTTCATGTATCTAGAGGTCTTGTTCACAAGTGATGGCAAGTGGGAGCATGAGATAACGGGTGGATTGCGGCGGCGGCAGCAGTGATGCGGATGCTGTATCGATCTGTGGAGCTGAGTTCTTGGATGAAGCTCTTGGTTTACAGGTCGCTCTACATCCCCATCCTCACCTATGGTCATGAACTTTGGGTAATGACCAAAAGGACGAGATGGTGGGAACGAGTGGTGGAAATGAGGTTTCTCCGCAGGGTCACTGGACTTGCTCTCCGACACAGGGTGAGGAGCTCAGCTATTTGGGAGGGCCTCGGAATAGAGCTGCTACTCCCCCTGATCAAGAGGAGCCAGATGAGGTGGTTCAGGCACCTGATAAGGATGCTCCCCGGGAGGCTTCTGTTGGAATTGTACCAGGCACATCCCACTGGGCGTAGGCCCCAGGCCGACCCAGGACCTCCTGAAGGGATTATATCTCCTGTCTGGCCTGGGAACGCTGCGGAATCCCCCAGGAGGAGCTGGAATCTGTTTGCAGAGGAAAAGGAGGTCTGGACCTCCCTACTCTCCATGCTGCCGCTGTGACCCTCACCAGGAAAAGCGGCATAAAGGGAAAAGAAGAAGAAGAAGATTATTATAGAGACAAGATGGGTGAGGCAATATATCTTTTATTGGACCAACTTCAGGTCAGACCTGAAGAAGAGCTCTGTGTAGCTTGAAAACCCATCTCTCTCACCAATA